TTGTGATGATGCCAAATTTATTTCCACTACTCCCACCAAAATCAAGTTATTAAGATACTGATTACTAGGATATACAAATTGAATAAATGGGAAAACCATCCAAATTTGGGGAGAAAAGTCTTGATGTTGTTGACAAAAAATTCTGAGTAGTGAGTAGAAAGTATATGCAAAGTTGCTCAATAATTTTCACTAGGCTTTTTGTTTTTTGATAGGCATGATTTTTGTTATGTCTAATAAATACAACACACATTGGTGATTATATAAGGGATTTGATAGGTGTCTTACATGTGTCTTTCATCAAGATATTAGTGGTGATGAAACATAAAGTGATGTGTATGGTCTCCAGTGAATTTTTCCACAAATAAAGCAGCCTTTCTGTTAAAAGCATAATACTAGTTGTGAAATAATGAATATTAACCCTTTGGAAGAGAATTCATATAGAAACAGACAAAATGGAAATTTAAAGACAGTGAGACTCTACAATTCCATCCAGAGAAGTTTAAAACATGAAAGCAGGAAGGTGGTACAGTGGCAACTGAACCCGAGCCCAAAAAGTAACAGTGTAAGAAAACATCCTGAGATAGGTACTAATCGGGAAATGAGAAATGAGACAGTTTTCGGTTGTGATATTTACTTGAATTTTGTATATCATCCTTTTCTGAGAAATTAAGAAGGCTCTTAACCAGTGGTTCCCCAACTAGATATCTTAGAACCACAATTCTGTGAAATGCTCACTCAGGGAGTAAATGATCCACTCTTAAGGGGACTCACTAGTATTTAATGGCCCCAAAAGTTCCCACAGCAAGTAAAAATTATAATTTTTTCCAAACCTATTTGACCACAAGACCCAATTTTATGTAACGCCTATTAACATCTTTCAAAGACCCTTTTTTACAAAATTTCCTTCTAGAAAATTAGACTAGACTATTAGAAATAATAGGTTTTGAAATGAGTGGAGTATGTTTGAAAAATTGTCTGGTAAATACATCATGACAACCAATTCTTCTTGCATATAAGGGGGTTGAACTTGCTTTCCTTAAAGCCTCTTCTAAATACAAACTTGCATAATTCCAAAATGCTGAGAACAGATTAGACATTCATGTCCTTATTTAATTTTTAGAGATATCTAAACTGGGTCAGTCAAATGCTTATAAACTTCCACTGCTTAGATAAAATGTATGTAACCCTCTTGATATATTCTTAATTAATTATATATATATATATATATATATATATTTTTTTTTTTTAATGTAGTACTATTTCCTGAGTGAATTATCCGCTTAGGGGATTTTTTTTTTCATTGACCCTCGCGGTCTCTTGGTCTCTTTGAGTGTGTCTAACTATACTAAAACGCTAGATTTAAATAATTTTTTCATGTAACTCGTTCTCTTCCTCTTTTCCATTAGTATGGATAATCAAGAATTCATGGTTGGCATTATGGATTTTGAAATGTCAGAGATTGTAAAGCTCTCTTGACTATTACAGTAAAAACTTCATTGGGAGCTATCATGTATTCAAAGCAGTGTGTAATTCAAAGCAGTTGCACATCCAGCTCTGCTTCTCCAGATGTACTACTATCCTTTGAATGAAAACATTAGATAACCTGAGTACTCTTTAATTTCAAGCCTAGCTTCTAGGTGCCAAAAATTTTAAGATAACTATGTTTTAATAAAGTTATTACATTTTCTTGCCATTAAACCCATCAAAAACGATGTTCACTCACAGGCCCATGTATTTCACAGGAATGCTTATTCTATCCTATTAGAATGCTCATTCTGCCCTTAACTTTATCTCTCCCAAAGCCTTATCATTTAGCCTTGTACTTCAGAAACACATCAAATGAAAATACTTTATTTTTAAAGAGTTTTGGTCATGGTAGGAGAGACTCTTCCCTTTCTTATTGAAGGACGATATTCACTTTTGGGTCCCGATTGCCTCAGTTTTGTTTTACCTATGAAGTTTGTGTGATTTTTTTTAAAAGGTGACAAATATTCACTGAAATACAATCTTTTTGTAGTTATATGTCATAAATTAAAATAATGATACTTTCCTAGTAAGAACATGCGTGCTTTAATCACTTTCCTAAAGAAGTTAAATTTATGGGTAAGAAAAATAAGAGTGACTATGGGGATGATGAGAAACTAATGAACACAAAATATGTATCTTAAAGGACCAAGCCAGGAGAAAACCTCATGTAAAATACTCTTCTTTTATTACATAGTAGCCAGGAACAACTTAAACTGAGATCAAAATAAAAGCTGATTTCATATGCCTCTTGCCTTCCTTCAAAGATGGTATATTTTTATAAAGCTAAACTTCTCTGTCACCAATAGTTTTGTAAATTACCTTTTACAAAGGGAAAGATAAAACCTATCTTTATGTAAACCTTTACACATCACAAAAAGACTCACGAGTGTTCCAAACTTACGGTTTTGGCACGCCGACTGCATAGCATTGAGGGAGGAGAAAAAGGGGTTAGCAGAGAGTGTATTTAGGATGAATGCCACCCACCATCAAGTAATGATTTAAGTAGAAAGTAATCAGAGGGATACCACAGCAGCTAAATTTCAACCAAAGATATTCTAGATTTAGAACAATAAATAATTTTAATCAGGTATGTTCCAGGGAGCAAATAGTGCTCTAAGGCTATAACTCAGCCTGAATAAGCACTTGGAAAGTCTGCGGGATCAGCAGCCACTGCATACATACAGCACACCACCTGACCCTCCACTAAAATCTGTAACATCGCTGCTACAGAGAAGCCTATATGTTGTGAAACCTAAACACCAGGGACCAGAAAACATATCTGATTTATTAAAGCAGACTGCATCTTTCACTTACATAGGAACATATGTCACGAGACAAAGCCTTAGCACCTTCCTGAAGTCGTGCCTTCTTAGAGCCAGAACTGCCTTATAATAAGGTCTTTTTAGTGTGTTAGTAACTAAACACTCTTGGAAAAGGTCCAACATGAACCACCTCTCCAGGAGCCTCCATCGATGCAGTAACATGACACTTAAGCTTTCACAAAAACCAGTGTCTACGTTTGATGAATAAGTCATTAAGACGGTCTCTAGGATGCTAAAGGGATTACTTTTCTTATCAGGGCACACAGCCTTGTATATATGCTTCAAACTGCAATTCATCATTTCAAAGGAACTTCTGGCCTCCCTATCAGAGTTTATTATTTGCTGGTGTAAGACCAGTGAGGCTGGTAAGGGACGCTAGAAAGTATAATGCACAGAATGAGCTGAAGCCCAAACGTACATGGGGCCTGCCTTATTGAAATCCTTATCCATCTCCAATGCATGGTTCACTCAGCCTAAAAGAAACAAACAACCAGGCAATGGGTGTGAGTGAAACAAAGTCACATTCCACCTCCCAACCTTATGATTCATGCTAAAAATGAAACTTGTTGATACCAAAAAAAGCTATTATTCATCTCTCGGGTGCTTTAGCTACTCCCAGAGAATACCAGGAAGAAAATGACTATCGAGCTAAGAGTGACTTGGGGACCTTCATTACTGCCACCTGCCTTGCCCACCCAACTTCTTCCCGGTTCCGGCTGCTCCCACACTGTTCCTTCATTGAGCTCTGCCCTCAGAGTTGCACTGAACTCAACAGGGCATTGACTGGAGTGGTCAGCTGTCAGGACAGCCTCCGCAAGTGGCTGGCATACTGTGGATAACCCAGAGCAGAGGGCAGCCCCTTACAGATCACACTCACGGTTTTAAGGACAAAGTTAAAATCCGGTTCAGGTCAGAGTCTAGCGAAAGACTTCTGCATTGGAAAGCATAATTCACATTTATTGTAAATGTCATCACGCCTAGGAGCTCTAGAGGGTATTTGCAGTGTCAGCCTAGGGCTTTCCTTGATGGATGCTTTGCTTTTCCTTTTTTCCGGGAGTCCTACGTATCAAAGCTTTGGGAAATTTCTTTCTAGTGATTCTGACAGAAGTGATAGAGCATGAGTCAAGGCCTCCTTACTTGAAGATTCTTGGCTATTTTTCAACGGTTCGCTGAAGATAGGCTTTGCAGTTACATTTCCCTTTATCATGAACGTAGTGAACAAAAAAGCCTGATGCGTCTTCAAAGCATATAAACCGAGTCAGTGTCCAGGAAACTTTCCCTCGGGCAGTTAGCACCAGGGAGGCAGGCTGTTAGCCTAAGTCATGCGCTCGCCACAGGGGCCAGGAGAAACCTCGCTAAGCCGGAGCTTTCAGCCTGCGGTGATCTGTGTGTCGAAAAATGGGATGAGCAGATTTTCGTCGCAGACTCCACGAGGTGTTTACATCCCCCGCTGGCCACCCCCACCCCTCAACTCCTCCCAGGTTAGAATAGGTACAACCTCTACTTGTCCAGGTGGGTTTTAGATAACGGAAACACCCGACCACCTGGTTCAGTTTGCGTGTTTGCCACCAAGCCACTATCAAATGGAGAGCGTCAACTGCAGTCACGCGGAGGACGCGACCTCGGGGGGGGGGGGGTGCGAGGTCTGGAGAAGCCGCCGTCCAGAAGGCAGGGGAAGGCGCCTAGTCCGAGTGTGACTTTCCTCTCTGGTGCCTCGGAGTTGGCATAAAATGACATCTGCCTCTAGGTGAACACGGCTAAAGCCCAGTCAAGGGAATTTCCGCTGGCTGGCGTAGGAACCCTCAGCACGAGGTGCCCCAGGGGTGCTCGGGGCGCCCGGGGCAGGAAGGCTCTGCCGGCACGGGGGTGGCCCCTTCCCCCTTCCAAGCAGTTCCTGCAGCCTACACCTGACCTACTCGGTTGCTCGGCCCCTTACTTCTCTCCAGATGTCCCTCTCGATTCGGGCTTTAAAACTGGGACCACTGGCTGGCGCAATGCGGGGTGTGGCGGAACCGAGGGGGCTCGGTGGGCAACTGCACCGCGCGTCTCTGGGTAGCGACCGAGAGCAGAGCGCGGGCGAGAAAGCTGGGGAGGGGGTGTCCCCGGAGAAAGCTGCGGCGGAGCGCGGAAACGGGGCGTCTCGGCACTCACCTGCTGCTCCGCCTCGGAAGCTGCGGACCGTGTTGCCTTCGCGCAGGGGCTGGGGGCGCGCGGGCGGCGAGCCCCGCTCCGAGGCCCCCCGCGCGCGCTCCGCCTCGGCCCCGCCGCCGCCGCCGCTGTACCTGTCATAGAGCCGCAGCATGTGCTCGGACACCTTGTCGAGCGGCTGCAGCACCGGGCCCGAGCCACCACCTGCCGTGCGGTGTCCCGACCCAGCGCCGTGGAGCTGCGGGAGACTGGGCTTCGGCCTCTCTGCCCGCGCCAGGCTCCCGCAGAAGCAGCCCAGCCACAGCCAGAGCAGCCCGCGCGCCCCAGCCATCGCCGCGAGGCGGGCCGGGGGACAGGCGCTCCGAGGCCGCGAGGGGCCCGCGACACAGCCGGGGGCTGAATTTCAAGCCAGCGGCGGCGAGCTGGGGCGGGACCCCGAGAGCCGCACTCCGCGCGCGCGGACCACAGAGCGGCAGGTGGGCTCCTCCCGGGCGGCCGCGCGGGCCTCACCCGCCAGGGCGCTGCGGGCGCCGTCCCCACTTGGGCGCCGAGGAAGAGCCTCAGTCGTGGCGTGTGTGGCCCGGGTGTCTTCGGGGTCTGATTCTACGCTCCTTCTCCTCTCTGTGTTCCAGAACACCCGGCCGAGACGGCCGCTGGGGAAGGGCACTAGCGCAGCGCCGGAGTCTGGGTGCGCGCAGCGGTCCGGAGGGCGCTCGCTCGCTTGCCTGTTCCAGGGATTGGAGCAGCAGTGGTGCGGCAGGTCCGAAGAGTTTTGAGTGTGCGTGTGTGCGCGTGTGCGTGCGTGTGTGTGTGTGTGTGTGTGTGAGAGAGAGAGAGAGAGAGAGAGAGAGAGAGAGAGAGAGAGCGAGCGAGCGCGACCACTCCGTTCTTCGGCCGCTCTGTACAGTGGGCGGCCGGGCTCGTTCGCCCTGGCCCGCGTAGGCAGCCTGGACCCTGCTGTAGCCCGGAGAGGAGGGAAGGGGGAAGTAGCCAGCGAACCAGCAGGGGGAGAGAGAGAGAAGAGGAAGTAGGGGTGGGGTGGCTGGGAGAGGAGGGGGAAAGGGGAAGATCCAGGAAGAAAGGGTAGAAGGCACAGGGTGTTTTTTGATCCCTCCAAGAATATTGATTGTGCCCAGGCCTTCAAGAGGGCAGAGGCAAATAAACTTCCTCCTAGTTTCTTTCTCCTCTGATACCAAACAAAATCAAGGTGTGAGCACCAGCCTTGCTTGCTTCCTTTCCGGAGCCTCTCCTTATCAAGCTGTGCACCCTGCACCTGTGCCTGGGTGCCACTCCTCCTGTCTCTCTGAGGGCTCACCCATCACAGCTCCTCCTCTGCCACATCTTCACTTCGCATCTCCCCCCAGGAGAAAAATAGGTGTGAGTCAATCCTCCTTAAGGACGGATGAACAAGCCAACGTGCCACAACACAACACCCACTCCACCACTTCATTCCCCGTAAGGGGTTTCTCTGTAGGACGGTGGCTAGGGATGAAACAACCACTTCTGGCACATCCAGGAATCCAGAGCAAGCGCTTAGGGTTTCTAATTCTGAGATCTGTGCTCATTCCTTTTTTGGCTGTAAAGCGGAGGTCAAACTCTTAGTTAACATTTACCCCACACTCCCCAGGCCCTAAACACTCATTATGCTTTATGTTTCACCTGTATTTTTTTAAAGCAACCTCTACCCCCAAGGTGGAGCTCAAACCTACAACCCTGAAACCAAGACTCACAAACTACCAATCTAGCCAGCCAGGTGCCCCTCACCTGTATTACCTTTAAAGGATTTTCACAAGGAAGCTCTTTTTACAGATGAGGAAACTGAGGGGGAGAAAAGGACACCCCTAGGTGACACAGCTGAGCTCCAAACTCAGAAAGTCTGACTCCTGGCCCCTACTCACCACACTATTATTAATGAAGTTAGCACTTAAACTGACTTTTCACTATGACAGTTATGGAAATGTTCTTAGCAGGGAGCACAGCCTGGTGCAGTAAGGCCCTTAGTGAACATCTGTCCTGCTATCTGTCCCCTCCTTGGGAGCAGAGTGGGGGCTTACCAAAAGGAAGATAGGCTCCCAGATCACAGGGGGTTTCCGAATCCCACTTTTTTCTTTGGAGGAGAATAAGGACATGTCTCTTTTAGAGTTTTGTTTGGATGGAACTGGAAAGCAGTGCTGAAGTGATAGGCGCCTTGACTAGCCTTTAATAGGAGCTCAATCCCTTTTTATCCCAAATTTATCCCAAAGGCAGACTGCATTCTCCCCCACTCTGTCACTTCTCAGCCCCTTGTGGTCTGCATTTTGCCCCCAGCCACCCCTAGAACTGTTCTGCAGATAATAATGCATACTCCGTGGCTGGTTGTGTGGATTATGGGGATCATGTGTGTGATCTTTCCTTGGCATCAAGAGCATAGTAGCTTTTGTGATTAATAATGAAGACCCAATTGCAAATTTCAATAGACCCTGGAAAGTCTCTCCTGATTTTTCCCTGTGAGTCTTTGGTTCTTTCCTTCTCCTTTCTGCTTTAAGTTCTATGAGCTGCCTCCACTTTCCAGGTCTGCCTCCAGTGTTCCTCACATCTTTATACTGAGCCCCGGAAGATGCCAAACTGAGAAGAAAAATCCTCTGCTTCAGTGGCCACCTCTGACCTTTCAAGTTATGTGGTCCTGGGTCTCTACCAGCCCCCCTCTGCATTGCCAAAATTTCACCCTTCTCCCCTCTGTAGCCATCCCTAAGGCTTCTCTTCCTTCAGCTCTAGTGTATAACTCTATGGCAACCTTTGCCACTCTGCATTCAACATAATTCTTCATCTGTAGAAGCTGTAGGTGGTGGGGTTGACCGCATGTCTTTAATGCCTACCTTCACTTCACTTCTTCCCAGATTTATATACTTCACCCCCCCCCTTTTTAAAGATTTATTTATTTATTTGAGAGATAGTGCAGGTGAGGAGGTGGGAGGGGCAGAGGGAGAGGAGAAAGAATCTTCAAGTAGGCTCCACACCAAGCATGAAGCACCATGCAGGGTTCAATTAACCCTGAGGCCATGACCTGAGCTGACATCCAGAGGCAAACGCTTACCCACGGAGTTACCCAGATGCCCCATGTACTGTCCCTTTCTTGTGCTTCCATTTTCTTATTTGAGCCATAAGTGCAAAATAATAATTCCTGTCTCACAAAGTTGTTGTAGAGAATCATTGAGCAGTCAGTGTCAGGAGATTAAGACAGTGCCTGCCACATAGCAGATGCTTAAGAAGAGTCAGCTATGAGCTAAGATAATTGCTTGTATGTTTTTATGTAAAGCAGCAGTCAAGCTGTATCCAGCTTTATATTCCAGGGACTAGCCATCACATTCAGAATAGACAAAGTAACAAGGAGAGGATTAGCAGGTAAAATAATCCCTAGCTGAGACACTCAGCTGTAAGAGCAAGGCTGGAAAGGAAAGTGTAGATGAAAGCCAGCAAACTGAAGAATCCTGGTGGAGGCCAAGTCCTGGACCCAAAGAGGTTCATCTGCAATGAGCCTACACCCAACAAGAAGGAGCAAGGGATGAGACAGGTGGAGGCAGCAGTATCATGTCCAGGAATGCCAAATAAATGGCACCCATGCCAGACACTCTGAGTGACCTCCTAGGGAACTGAGACCACATAGAAATGGAATTAATAGTTCCTTCACTAGAACATCTGGAGATGCCATCTTGTGGTACTTCAGTACCACAGTGTTTCTTTTGTCTAAGGCCATAGAAGCTTAGATCTGGATGGATTAACTAGTCTCCAAATGCTGGCATCTTTAGAAGCCTTCCTCTCCAAGGAAGAAATTATAGGATTTGTAATTCTGGCTGGGCATCTGGCTTACTTGATGTATGGAGGATTTAGAGCTATTCAGAAAGAGGAACTTCAGAATTGAATATGATCATGGTACAAGTGCCTGTGTCTGATTTCTTCTTGAGCCTGGTTAATTTAAATTTGCTTTATATTTTAATAACAGGAATTTCCTCTTTTATGCTAGAGAATAAGTGTTACCATTACAGCCTACCAGTGAATCAGAGGCCATTTATATCAGTCTCTTTTCCTAAAAGGAAGGAAAGTTAAAGACATTTTTATAAAGCAAACACCAATTTAGAATTTTAGTGGATTCTGTTGAATTGAGCTCTACTTTTCACCACAAAACCCTGCCTGTGTATTTATGTGTATTAAGCATGTCTTTATTAGATCCCTTAAGCACGGTATACCTTTATTTCCAAAAAACTCCATCAAATTATTATTGAGTATGTATGTAAGGCTGCATTGGCAGTTGTGGGGAGAATATGCGAGGAGAATGTGTCTTAGACTGGGGGGAGTTTCCCCTCTAGTAGGTAAGCCAAAGAAACCCACACAGGACAGTGAACAAATAGTGGGAGAAGGATTAATTCAGTGTTCACCCATATTTTGGAGACTAGGTCACAATTTGCTGTGTCAGTAATAGGAGGAGATCAGTGGGAGATGCAGTAGCCAGGGAAAATTTCCTGGAAAAGGTAGGGCTTCATTTAGCCTTGAAAAATGGCTAACATTTTAGAGCCAAACATGAAGGACTTGTAGGTTAGGAAAGAATAGCAGTAGGAGAGAAGCTGCAGAAGTGGGCGTGAGCTGGCTGTGTTACTAAGGCCAAGTCGTGTGGGACAAAGGCTGATCTGACTTTATGGAGTATTTATGCAGGAGAGCACAGGAAAAATAGAGATGGGATGCAGGGTGGAATGAGTTTATGGAGGACCTGGAATGCTAGATCAGGGGCAAGGAGGCAACCCTAGAAAGTTTTTGAGAATAGAAGGCTGTCTCATGGCCAAAACTTTCCAAAAATGGTCTGGAAAGCTTTAGTAATGAATAAATTTCCTGCCTCCAGAAATATATACACATATGGTGGATGACAAAGTAAAGATAGTTTAAGGTTGATTCAAAAGCAGCAGGCTGATTGAAGATATTTATTTTTTTTTTTAGGATTGTATTCATTTATTCATGAAAGACACAGGGAGAGAGGCAGAGACACAAGCAGAGGGAGAAGCTCAGGACTCAATCCCAGGACCCCAGATCACAACCTAAGCCAAAGGCAGATGCTCAACCACTGAGCCACCCTGGAGTCCCCTGATTGAAGATATTTAATACCTTATGAGTTGCAAACTTATCTGGGGCAATAAAACATGTATCTATTTGTATATACCTGAATCACAGTGGCTTAAACACAAAGGGGCTTGATTTTTCCTCCTGTTGTAGGAAGTCTGCAGTTAAGGAGCTGTTGGTATCTGTTCAGGGCTTGATGAATGTCATTATTAGTGTTTATGGGACTCATTTATCATTTCTCTACTTTTTGCTGCCTTAAGGTCACAAGATGCCTTTTGCAACTTCAGCCATCAAGTGCTTTCTCAAGGGAGAAAGGAGAAGGAGAGGGGAGGCACCGGCTATATCTGTTCCTTTTCACTGGGAAAGTGAAACCTCTCTTAGAGCCCTGGCAGGTATCTCTTTTTTCTCACTGGTCAAAATTTTGTCACATTGGTCACCCCTACCTGCAAGGGACTGGGAAATCAAGAGTCTTGTCTGGGCCTCGGCACACTGCCATTGCAAGAAGAATTGGAGTTCAGTTGTCAAGGAAGAAGGAGCAGTGAAAATGTAAAGTCACTAACAGGGTCTTGTATAAGGACCCTCCAACGTGAACAGTGAATGAATCTTCAACCCATGTATGGGTTATTTTCTGTTTTACTTGTGAACTTGCTTAGCTTTTCTCCGGTTCCCAACCAAAAACACATCAAAACTCTCTTCCTTATCTAGCTCACAAACATCGATCACTTTCCTTTCTTTGATCTTTGAACTACTTTAAAAAGTTCACTTGACATTTCACTTTCTCACTACCTCCAAATCACATCACTTCATTTTATTTCTAACCATCTGTAATCTGATCTTTGTACTCGTACTGTTCTTGTGTTAGGCGCT